CCCAGGTGAACTACCAGTGGTCCACCAACCCGGTTATAGCCCCGGCTTCCGGCTATTCGTCCTCTCACTTTGGTGGGAAAACACCTCCGCCACGAGAAAGCAGTAAATAAGGCTTCCTTAACGGAGGCTCTTTGAGACGCTTGGTCGTATGGGAGCATTTCGCGAGGTGCAAGGGAATGGTGACCAGCCGCAACCCTGGACACCCACCTCCGACCATACTGAGGCTTCCGGAGGTAAAATAGAATTGTAGTTCAAATCGCTTCAAGAAGGTTCTACTTTTGAAAAGGCGATCAGATTTGAAAGCTGTTCTTGTAGCTGAGTAAAGTGAATAAACCAATCGATTTGGCAGGAATCAATACAGAACTGCCAGAAGTTACGAAAAAACCGAAGGATAGGCTGCGGTGTTGGGATCTCGATGTCGAAAGACAGCTTTGTACTTTTTGACTATTTACCACCTCAATTGATATCATTCTGTGGTCTACTTACCATAACATCTCAAGTTCAAGTCCTGTTCTGCTGTACTCCAAAGTGTATGTAATTAATCGGGAAACGGATGCACGACTTATTTTATTGTTTCAGAGCCTCAGTATCTATCAATGACTGCTTCATAATCCTTTGTTTTGTTTTGATTCGGCGAATTCTGTGAAGATAGTTCATCTTACATATTGTGGTGCGCCGCCCCAAGTCCCGGGGTTGCTGATTATCACGAATGAACTATGGGTTCTTGTGACGGTGGGATTTACTCCTTATGTTGTTCAACACAATGATAAATGGAAGTAATGTTTTCCCGTCACAAATTTGAATAGAGAAGTCAGAAACATGGGTTTGNGGAGTTCAAAAAATATTGAATGCGGGTATTATTGAGCCATCGAAGTTTCTATGGACGGTGGAAGTTCTCATACCATCTAAGGAACGCCAAAAAAGCGTATGTCCATCGATTACAATTGGTGAGCAAATTGTATGTACCTAGCTAGAAGCCTATCCTGTTCCACGAATAGCCTGGTAGGAGGTCTTCGGTAAAGATGATTCAAAGGGCGCGTACCATCAGTTTCTAATTAAAACTGAAGAAACAAAGCATACTGGGTTTGTGGTCTACAGGAATCCGTACCAGTTTTGGCGCATTTCATGCTTTCTGAGAACGTTGGACCACACATAGAAAAACAACTACTCGGCACTTTTGCTCATAAAGAAAACAGTATTTTTTTGTCCTGTACATGACAAGAAATTGCGGCGATCTAAAGAAATATGTAGGAGGTATAACATGAATTTCAATGAAGATCAATTCAGTTCTTACCACTATTAACCGTGCAATATCGTGCGCCGGTTTTTGTTGCTGATTTATCACTGTTCATTTGGATGGTGTAAAGGAAAGATTCTTTGTCCGAGTGAAAGTGGAAAATTCGTGAAGACCACGGTTTTAAAGGAATTTGGAAGATGCACGAA